TTAGTCACTTTATTACTTGACGACCGCGTATACTTGCGTGAGTGTGTTTGGTCGCAACACTTGACAATAGGTGCAAACTTGAACTGAACAGTAGGAAACATAATATTGAGTTAACTCAAACTTATCCTCCTAATGCGATAATAACATCAGACTTAAACTTTGATACAGAACAAATAAACGGATGGCTCCAAGAAGCTAAAAGAGTTCACAAAGTGTTGGTACAATATTTGGCCAAGGAAAACTTAAATTTGGTACTAGCTTAAATTCGTACTACAAACGAGAGTTTTCTTTTGGTTAATCTACAAGGTACAGAAGATTTTCGTGAAATCCACATTATTATGCAGAATTCTGTATTCTAACAGAAAATACACAAATATGCTCTGTTTTAGGTAAATCAACATGTGAATATTCGTCCAGTTCTGTTTAAGTCCTGCGGAAAACTGGTTCTTCTATTTGGAGTTGCCTATTTAGTGCAGCTTTTAACAAGTTCAGTTTCACCACCAAAAAAACGACCCTCCTTATATCCAAGTAAAGGGAGGGAACATGTGGAGTTCAAGGATATTAATGTTGTTCTACCTTCCAGATGACACATCCCTCAGTGCCCAGCGAAACAACACTTCCATCCACCATGCAACATATAACTGCAACACCACAAGCTAAGTTATGTAATTGACATCTGAAACACACACCATAACAACATGTACTACCAATCATAAAAAATTTAGACAACAATGCATAACATCAACCACGACAACAACAACAACCCAGTGGAATCCCACAAGTGGGGTCTGGGGTAGAGAGGAAACAAGAGGCTGTTTCCGAGAGACCCTCGGCTCGAGAGGAAGAATAGAAACAAGTAAATATCAACAACAAGGCCAGGAAAATGATACCAACATCATAAAAATAAATCTTAACAAATATGAATAAAAATAAACTTATTCAATCAATAACTTTAGCACAATCTTTGTAGCCCTAGACCTTTACACACTGCTCTGGATGCCTTTATAGACCCCTACCAACCAAAATGTTAATCAGCCAACTCTGCTCAATATCTAATCCGGACAAATAGATAGCAAGCCAGGATAAATTGATAATGACACAAAACAAGTACCATTTCCAGATGAAGGGTTGATTGAAAGTGACCCAAAAATAGGAACTCCCAACTCTTGTACCCATATTTGATCAAATGGAAGAGCCTGCAGAGAGAGAATTGCTTAACAGGCTTGCAAAGAAGCAAATATTAACAATATTACGTAAGTATAAGAAGGTAATGCTCGGACGCAGCGAACAAAGTAAGCTTATGCTCATATCATGGAGCAATGCGTATCATGCCATCCCACTCCCAGAGTGGAGGGATTGGCAAAGAAAAGAAAACCAAGGATGGTAAGAAGAGCCTTAGGCTAGAGAGATATTCTATCTCAAATTCTAATTTGGTGCTACGTTTTTTTTTTAAAATTTTATTAATGATGGGCAAAAAACACCCGTATACAAGATGTATACCAAAAAGTAGAAAATCTTACCAAAAATATGGCTTCCTACAAATGATACCCAATCTTCTATATTTATAGGAACCTCTGGTACTACTTTAACGGTATGGTTCACATAATGGAGACGATGTTTCTGGCAAGGTCTTATGATCTTACCTCACATCTTAAAATGAAACCAAATCATATCATACAGAACAGATCTACCAAAAATGCAGCCAGTAAAATAAAACCTTCAGTTTCTTTCTACAGCTTAGATTATCTGCTTTCACATGTCATATACACTCTTATTGTTTAACCATAAAAGCAAGTAATTATTTAGTAACATATAAGGCCATATGACCAAGGGTATGGAGCTAACATGGACCATAGATGATAGTATGAAACTTTTGGACACCGAAAAATGTTGCTACTACTATTATCTAGCAGAAGATGAGATCTCTCTAAATACTCAACAGGAAATAAAATTTAATGGCCGAAACAATTTGCCCTATGAATCTACAAAATGTGCAAATTGTCATGAGGTACGAGTTGTGAGATGAAGATGGCCCCGAATTTCTTTTCTTCCACTTGGTCGATCATTACCTATATTTCATAGGAAAAATAAGAGAAACATATTTAAATACATCTCCTCACCCTGACAAATAGAGCTGTTACTCTGCCACTAGTGGATGCCACATAGAGCTTTTCATGCACCTACAAAGTTTTTTAAAGAAAAGGTTAAGAATATAAGAAGAGCAAGTTACTTAAAGAAGGAAGAAGATTGATATTAAGTGCCGAGACGTTGCAAAGTGGTAAGGATAATTGTTCCAAAACAATCCCGTATACAGGAAAAGCATATAATAACGTGCAATATAAGGTAATCTGACCAAACATCTAATGAAAATTGCTTCATCGGTGTGCAATTCTGTTGAGATGGAAGACATAAGATGTGATGAGGGCATAAAAGCAAATCATTCTCGTGGATCCCACGGAAGGTTTTGCTAATTAGCCCTTTAAGAAATGTACAGCCACAAGTTAACATGTTATGCTAAATGCCAGAAAATTCCAAAAGAAGGGGTCTATCTACTGAGAAGGACATTCAGATCCACCTCATCAAGTGCAGGTGCACCAAATATGCTACCACCACATCGGATTTTGTAAATACAACAGTGATTTTCATAATCAAGGGCATACAGATTATGGTCGTGCGATCCACACCTGCAGTCAATTATACGAAGACAAAAGAATGAGTAATATAGTTGCAGTAAAAGAATGCTAACTGTATCAAGATGGCAAGAAAATTTGGGGAACCGATCAACAAAAAACCATTAGAGCACATGTATCTATTTGTTCTCATCTGTAGATCATGCCAAATTTCTTCATTTTCTCTTTAGATTCTTAGTTTAGACTAATGAGCTCTTGGTAAATCTAGGACGTTAAAAGGTACTTGGACTATTGAAAGACTTCTCTACATAGCAACATGAGCTCTCCACAACTCTAGGAGTCAATTGGCACTTGGACAGTTGAGAGACTTGATCCAAAAAGCACCATGGGCTCTCAATAATTCTAAGAAGTCAACAGAGAATACATGGGCGGGCATAGAAACAATGGAACCTAGCTGTTCTGCTCCCCAGCTTTTCTGTGATAGGTAACAGCACTTAGCTGCTAATGCAACAAAATGAATTTAGAGAATGAGATCATTAGGACATTGTAAGAACACATATAACATGAGGCGTTTCATGTGAGGTAGAATCAAATGAAATCTCCAGAAAATGTAAGGACATTAAGAAGGCAAAACAACATAACGCCCATTCCTTTTCTGTATTTACTGGGATTTTGCCTTCCCAAGCCCCCTCTCCAAAGTTGAAAAAAGGGCCATATATGCACTGATATTCCACGAGCATAGAAGAAATAGACAAGCTTCAGATATAGTAGAAAAAGTTTGCAAGTTTTATCAACCAGGATAAAGAAGAAGAAAAATTACCAGACCAAGTGCCTCTCTTTGTCAACGACTGGCTGCGATTTTACCTTAAAATTTCAGAAGTTGAGTACAAAATAAATGTCCAACAACAGTCAACAAAAAATTTGAATAAACAGGAAAGAAAGCTATATTCCAACAGACTATTATGATTACTATCAACTACCTTTTTTTAATTACTCTTCAATTGGTCTCAATCACCAATGGATGATTAATATCCACCTCTTGTAATAACACAAGAGTCCATAAATTTTAAAGTCAAAACTGCATCTTTGGTACCAAGATTTCAAGGGTTGTGCATTTTTAGTCTTAATTTATTAATTATGCACACAATACCTTAATTTTAACATTTAAGTGCAAAGATTGGATCTCATCCTAACGGTGGTAACTTCCTGATATAAAAAATTTATGTGTCTTGGATATGACACATTTCTAATATAAATTGACGTCAAATCTCTAATAATGCAAACAATCCTTCTGATATACTATTACACCTAAGTTTTATTTTAAAATATTTATGAAAAGTGAATTTTAAAGTAAATTGAAATCCTATCTCAATTAAGTGACTTTTCAAAAAAAAAAATAATTAATTAATAAATACTCAAGAAACCAGTAAAAATTCTCATTCTTGAAAAAACTTTTCTGTGCTATTTAATCAAAATTCTACTGTAGTAAAAAAAAAAAAAAGAATAACCCAACTCTTAAATAGAACAAAAAAGTTCTACAGTATTGTAATATTCTTTTCTTTGATTATCTAATATTCAGTTGAAAGTCAAGCGAAGTTACAATTATTGAGATAGAATTTTACTTTACATAAAAGAACAGACTCATTTTTTACCATACATATGTTAAGACAAAAACTAAGGCAAAATACTATATTAAGAGGAACTGTATGCGTATTAGAAGTTTGGCTTTAATTGATGACTCCATCCACAAAAAGAAAATGGATATACAAGTGAAAACTGGATATACAAGTGAAAACAGACTTAGAACGCTTAAAAGATTACAAAAAGGTTAATTCTCTTTTTTCCACCCAAAAGTTATCAACCATCACGATGACATCGTATTTTGCATGTTATGTTAACGTTAACGTATTTACAAACTCAAAAAAGCAGGACAGAAATGCACTATCTGTAAAAATTAGGAACTAAAAATGCAATTTTACTAAATAATTTCTACTGGCATTTCATATTATGTTTATTTTGTATGAACCAAAGCAACCAGGCAACTTCACCTTGCACAAATATTTTACATTTTCCCATCCCTACAAAAGTTCAAGGCCCAAATTAACAGATTGGCACCAAACTATATGGTGTTCTATAAAACTCATCCTTCTAACAGAAAAAAAAATAAAAAAACTGTCTAGACTCAGTTTGATATGATCAGTGTTTATTGAAATCCAAGCCCACAAACTCTACAAAACTGTATTCAGGCTATTCCTGGAGAGATTGTATTTTTTGTACAGGGATTGAATTTGGAAGTTTCACCCAAAAAGAAAAGATTGAGTTTGGCAGGGCATGAATTCCTTGATCCCTTCACACTTCCTGACATGAAATACTTCGAGGTAAACAAATACTTTAGGCAATATGCGATCACATTATTCCTGTCGCTCCTCTGCTAACCTTAGGTTTAATGGTTTGTTCAGCAAGGTCTTAAAATGCTATTGTCTGGAGATAGGAAAGGCAGCTTCTGAAATTATTTGATAATACTGTATAAACGTATGAATGTAACTCTCCAAGAGATACAAATTTTGAGAACTCCAACACCTAAAACCCTAAATCCAGGGAAACTTGGCTTCCACAAACTTGTTACCCAAGTAATAATAGTAAACACAATAACAGACATCCTAAAATAACAAGGAAGCCTTTGTGACAGGAAATCCTAAATTAAATACTAAACCAACATTTTCGAAGTAACGAGTGCTAGAGCTCATGAATAATACTTCTAAAGTAATGGTTAAGTCACCACTATTTATCCTTCAGCACTTTTGGCAGACAAGCGATAAATATTATAGTTTAGGCCTTTGTGGCCGCTAAACTGCATCATATAAATGCTTGCCAAATAGATCAAGCTAAACCCTTCTCTAATTATGGTATCTTTCTATCATTATCAAGAAGTTCAATGGAAAAGGTAATCAACATACTATAACTTACTGATACATTAAATGTAATCATACCTCTCCATCCGTTTGAAAATTCCAACAAGGGATGCCATTTGAAAAATTCAGAAAATAAATATTTCCATCATAACATCCAATAACAACCTGTAAGTGAGATCCCTATCAGCTGAAGTAAAACTTACAATCCAGAAAACTATGATAGAAAAAAGTTATCGTCTATAACCTGAGAAAAGTCATGTAGAATTGCTGCTGAACTCTCAACACGTCCTTGTAATTTGATCTCCCACAAAACAAGACCACTAAACACATTTGCAGTGGAGTAGTATAGTCAGATGCTTTTCATCACCCAAGCCAGAAAACCATCTCAAATTAAGCATAAAATTGCTCATATATCGATAAAGAAGCAAAAAGCTAGGGTCGAGAAATAAGAACTGAGTCAACAATGCATTGCTTGGACTAGTCCACAAGGAAGTCACCTTTCTCACAGCTCAAGCAACAATGGCAAAGGTAATCCAAAACGACCAAGCATACATGATCGTAGGCAAAACCAAAGTTTGAATAACAAATTGCAAACATGGAACAATCACAAGCAAACAACACATACAGAAACGTAAAATTAAAAGCAATGAGAAGCTTTCACTCAAGATGGGATGTACTTAATTACCAAAAAGCCTCTCATATTATCGACATAAGTGACAGCAGAAAATGACAATAAATAACCACAGTTATACACATAATGTTAACGTCATGAAAAAACCCGCTAACCAATGTTAGATAAGTTATGTAAATACATTAGACTTAGATGTCATATATAAAAGTGTATCGAAGCAGCCTCTGCCCTTCCAGGGTAGGGGTAAGGTTGCGTACATTTTACCCTCCCCAGACCCCACTTGTGGGAAATCACTGGGTTTGTTGTTGTATTGAAGCCGCAAGAAGTATGACCATAAACCTTGAAAAGTTTGAATTTAAAAGGATCCGTTGCATGACATGCTGCTTCACAAATTCTTCCTATCTTTCTCTTATTTCTCACATGGTATCAGACTTATGGTAAAATTAGTTGAGCATTCACTTGCAACAACAGGAGAGAAACATCTCGTGGCCATGCATTAGCTTTTCTTGTTGCTCATGAGTGTTGCGCATCAATCAGTATCACCAGGTGACACTGGATAATCATATGAACGAAACCAAGATATTGCATCTTTGTTAGAGGCCCACATGCCCTTCACACTCACACAGTGCGCGCATGACCAGCTCTAGCCATATTCTGCTAATATCTTGGATCTATCGGAGTTGATTCTTTCTGCTAAGACAATCCATTGCACTTGTGGACTAATATGACCACAGTAAAACTAAACAAGGACCTTAGGTTAGGGTAACACAGGAAATCTCGGTATCCTCCTCACTTCCTGATCGATTTATCACAATTTTAAACATCCTAAAGCACGACCTACACTTGAATCCTACCACAAGTGATATCCAAGCTTCTCCGATAACCAGAACAAGTCTTTAAGTGCTCTAGCAGTGCCTTCAGGTTTTTCATACTCAGACCATCTTTATTTCATGTTTCAGTAAATCGGAAGTCAACCTATGCATGTTAAGCATATAGATATAGATTAGGCACGATCACCTTCTAACAGAAAGTCTACCTACCAATACAACTTTGTTGTTTGACATAAATTGGTATATTTACAATAAGTAGAAATAAAATGTGACAGGAGATTTAGCGTAGAAGCTGAACATCGAACCATAACTTTTATGACTTGGTAACTTATATAGATCTGTTAGCGTCCCACATTGGTTAAGGGTAGCATTCTTGTCTCCTTATACGGTCTTTGGGTAATTCTCAGCTCATCACTAGATTTTTAGTAGAGTTAGGCTCAAGGTCCATTTCTTTTACATGGTATCAACGCAAGACACATCCATGTTCTTCGTTTACCCAATAATGGTCTTCCATGTTATATTTCCATATTCTGGATGTCCAGTCTTGGACGAGCAGGGGTTATCAGAGTCCCAAATTGGTTTAGGGTATAAGTTGTCTTTTTATACAATATTAGGTAATCTTTACTTTATGAGCTAACTTTTTTTTTATCAGGTAAGGTAACTTTTATTAAGAAACTTCAAAAAAGTACCAAGGGGGTACTTTCAAAGTACAAGCAAAACATCATAGGAAAACAATTACAAATAAAGTTTCTACAATTCCATAAAATCTAATAGCTGCACCAAGTCTTCTGCTACCCTTTCCTTACACCAAAAATATCGATTCTGCTAGCAACTATTTTTCAGCGTAGGAATCTGGGTCCTCTGATCTTCAAAGCATCTTTTGTTCCTTTCTAGCCAGATGGTCCACATGATTCATAAGGGAATGGTCATCCACATCTTTTTCTTCCTTTTGCCTACTGATTGACCCTGCCAACTTTCCAGCAGACTTCGAACACTGTTTGGCATTACCCACTTCACACCATAGATGTTAAGGAATAGGTCCCAGATCTGTTTGGTCTGCCGGCAATGAAGAAACAAATGATTTACAGACTCCTGGCTTTCTTCACAGAAAAAACATCTACTGCATAAGGCAAAACCTCTTCTTTGTAGCATATCTTGGGTAAGACATCTATTCCAGGCTACAGTCCACCCAAATCCAGCAACTTTTGTTGGTGCTTTGGTCTTCCAAAGCATCTTCCATGGCCATGATTCCTCCCGCTGCCCAGTTTGTTGTTGAAGAAGATTATAGCAGCTTTTAACAGAGTATTTCTTATCTCTACTGGCCATCCAAATCTGGGCATCCTCTCTACTATCATCCAAGGCTATAGGCTCTAGAATTTTGAATAGTTGGCAGATATCTTCCACTTCCCAATCATTGAAGTGTCTTCTGAAAATTGGTTGCCATCCTGCTCTTGAGTGGCATTCTGCAACAGTGCAAAGTTTGTTAGTAGTAATGCTATATAGATGAGGAAATTTTTCCATCAATTTTCCTTCTCCGGCCCAGACATCTGTCCAGAACCTAACTTTGTTCCCGTTTCCAATCTTCACCATTATGTTTCGCCATAAACTACTTATATACTTCCACAGACTGGCACCTGCATATGTAACCACCGGACTAGGATCCCAAAAATCTTTTTTACCATATTTAATGGTAATCAGCTTTTTCCATGGTTCATCACCTTCTTCATTAAATCTCCATAACCATTTGCACAATAGACTCTTGTTGTGAAGCTTCAAATTCCTCACTCCAAGCCCTCCAGCTTCCTTGTTTTTCATTACTTTCTGCCAATTGACCAAATGCATTCTCCTTTTTTCTGCATTGCCTTCCCATAGAAACTGACTCCTAATGGTGTTGATTTTCTTCCAGCACAGTATTAACCAGAGTGATTCTTCCACCAAAGGACAGATATTGCTTATTCCATGTGGACATCTTCTTTGTACATTTATCAATTACACTTTATGAGCTAACTTTTGAGGTTGGGTTAGGTTCAAGGTCCATATTCTTTGCAAGATCAAACGACTAACCAAAAAATGACGTTTGAATATATTAGTGAGATGCAACTTGTATTTGGTAATCAAGTGCACTTCATATTGCATCAAACCCGACATTCCAGGAGAGACTAAGCGCATAAAAATCAAATGTCACTTTATTAGTGAAAGATATTCACATAAAATATCATCATAAAGTTCATAAAATCAAATGATCGACTTAGAGATATGATCATCAACTCCCTAGCCAGTCCTCGAACTACTTAAATACGTTCGCTATCCTATATCTTAGTACAACAACATACCCAGTATGATCCCACAAGTGGGGTCTGGGGAGGGTGGGGGGCAAACTTTATCCCTACACAAGGTAGAGAGGCTATCCTATATCTTAGTGACTAGACAAAAAGTTTTAAGATGTTAACTTGACTTATAAGTTATATATCTAAATATATCAGAAGCACATTAAATAATAGATGAAAAGTTAGCTAGATGAAGAAACATCACATTATGTAGAAATTTGAGTAATTGAATTTGAATTCTTAAGCTTTAAAACTTGCAAAACCATGAAATAGTGTCAAATACTTTGGGACGTTGCAAAAAAGGAGTGTCACAGATATTGGCACGAAGGGAATATGTAACAAGCTCATTACATACGAGTTGTATGCACTAACTTGAATGGGAGTGTTAGATAAGCTATGGGTGCATAGTCACCACTCCGGATTTGATTGGAATTTATTTTTCCTTAGTGATTGGAAAGGAGGGAGCCTAGGTATGTTATACAAAGGCAAGGCGAAAGCATCAAATGGAGAAGAGAGGCGGCTCGGCAGGAAAGGAATGGGAAATCGTCAAGGTACTATCTTGCAAGATAAGCTATGAAGTAAATTAAATTTATGTAGTTAAAAAAAAAAGTTCGTAGAAGTGTCCCATATCAGAAATGTAACCTTCTATTCTGAAAAGTGTGATACTACCGAACAATTGCAGTGATATGACTGGTATAGCAGAGAGCTTTCCACAATGCAACCCATCAAGTTTAGTCTATGCGTCCATATTTAGACATTCCAATCCAAAGAGAACTTTTTTGGGTCAAAACCTAGATCAAAATTGTCTAATAGTGTATGGAAACCAATCGGGCAACATATCCCATCCTCAGCCAAACCAAGTGGATGTAGGACTCATATATAAGAAATTTGTCCTTCACACACTCTTTTTTTATCTTTTCTTGATTTTCACAATCACAATCATCTTAGACAAACATGCGGCATTACCTTGTTGCATCAATGCAAAAGAATTTGTGGGAGTGAGCTCCGACAAACAGATAAGCACTTCTTTCTTTAAATACAACTAGTGGTGATGCATCAACACAAGACTCCATGTAGACCATCCACTGTTCTCGCATGAGACCTCTTTTATCACGTGGAACTTCCCAAGACAACACAGATCGGCAATGGTAACCCTCACATCTGGCGTCATGCCTTACTTTGTTGCACCGGCTGTAGGAACATGAAACCTGTGTCATAGTTGAATTATTCATATCTCTTCCATTAACATCGTAGGGATCAATATACAAATCTGAATCTGTTTTCAAACGTTTAATGGGGTAATCACTTGTCAAACTCAAAGAGGTACTGCTATCAAGATCGGGCATCCAAGATTTATTGGAAGGAAGATTGCTTTTTTCTTGAACTTGCGAAGGAAGCTTGCTTTTTTCTTGAACTTGCGAGTTCACTCCAACTAAAGCATCAGCTCTAAGTTCACGGCTAGAGGATACTTTTTTATGTAGAATGGCCTTCTGAAGTTTCAAAGGAGTTGGAAAAGTATACAAGTCCTTCATATTAATTCCTAGATTATAGGAGACATAAGCTGCTGATAGAGAATTGCCACCCATCTCAAAGAAGTCATCATCAAGGGAGATCTTGTCAACAACCATCAGAGCATCAGAAAAAGCCTGTCCAATCAAAGTTAAAGGAAGTGTTAGAAAACACATACCGGAAGGACAAATAATATTGACTAGAGAACAAGAGACTCACGACAATATGACAGCACGCATTCATTATTCAAACTTTCTATGTATCTTTTACCACCAAAAAATAGATGAAATGAAGAAGATGTCTTTATAACATGATTGTTTTGCTTTCGTGGGGAAAATGAGCTGTAAATCCTCTTTTGCTAATTCGAAGTCTTTCCTGCTGTTTGGTTAATATAGCGTGAAGCTACGGAGATTTGACATCTGATTTATCTACTGGAAAAGGGTGGTAGAGGGAATTTATCTCATCCCCAAAGAAGGGGGTGGTAGAGGGTTCATATATGCCTTGAGGTGCTCTAGACCCAAACTGGTACACTTCAGCGAACGTGTCATGCCTGGCACACTCCAAAATGCGCAGCCTTCAATTTACTCTTGAAGTATGCCTTGAAATCTACTCGTGGAGCAGTGGTGTGCTTTGATGGTGTTGTAACATAGCTACAATAATGAAGCTAATCTATGAGAAACGAGGAGTGATTGTAGACTTTAAGTAGTACTCTTGACTGTTACTCTTGAACATTACATGCTTGTTCCTAAAGTTGACCAGTAACTGACTCATTATCATTGTTAAGAATTAGCTGTTGGGACAGCTTGATAGATATATGTGGTTAATCCATTTGCACAACTTGTATATATTTTTGACCCAATTTCGGAGTGATATTGTAGAAAATGGACAAAAGAACAGGTTATCTGTCATTACACAACCTGATTACTCCCTCAAGTAATTTTTTAATTTGGTTGATTACTCCCACAAGATATTGCAAATTAAATAGTGTTTACAAGTTGCCTGAAAGAGAGAGAAGGCATAAATTAAAACCCTATAATTCTTCCAGTTACATGGTCTGGCATTTGGAATCCTTTACATAATACAATATAAGGATTCTCTTAACTGATATCAAAGAATAAGTTGTTTTACAGAAATAAAAAGGGAATTTTATAACACATGGTACACATCCCAACATGATGCTATTGAGAGAGTGAAAGCTAGCTTTTGCAAGAAAAGAAATTTTGTCCCAGTTACCTTGTTGCAAGCTATGTTGCTCGGACTCTCCAAAAATGTCGCTGGATGCGTGTTGGATCCTGCAAAAGTAGTGTATTTTTGGAGGATCCGACACGGGTGCGGCAGCATTTTGGAGAGTCCACACAACATAGGTTGCAAGGGTATAAATCAATAATAAAAAATGTCATTCAGTTAAAATGTTGAGAAAACCCCCTGCATATGACAGTTTGTATACAAAAGGTAGAGAAGTTTATACAAAAGGTGATTCTCTGCAAAGACCACTATTTATACTAACTGAAATGTCATGTTCCAAAAGTGTCAGAACATACAAAAGTTCCACTGATCTGTAAAATCTTTTCTATTACTATTTGAGTACATTTTTTTGCCAAGCTAACCACCTTTCATAGAAAATATCTTCATTAATAGCTGTTTCACCAATCAGCTTCTCTACTCCCAATATAAGCCAAACTACATAATACTCCCTATGTCTCAATTTATGTGGCACACTTTCCGTCCTGGACACCAGCTGATAAGTTGCTCAAAAAGGGAATGAATTCCCATAAGCAAGAAGTATATAGTATCCAGAATAGAAAATACAAGCTAACAACAACTTTTAGCAGCTTATCTAGGCATCCTATGATGTTAACAGTCTACACGTGATTTTTCTTCACATCTACATCTTATTATATTTAACCAAGAAAATCACATTTTAATCATGGGCAGACTTAGTACTGAATGAAAATCGAAGCATGAAAATTAAAATCAAGATTGCTAACCCCATATTACAACAGAATCACAACCTTTAATAAAGCTGAAGTCTAGTTAAATACCTTCTGTATAACATTAATGAGATCGATATCTTGAGTTTTTTCAATCTCAATACGGCTACCTGCCTCAGAAGCTGCTAAAGTGGCCAAATTCTTATAATCCACTTTCCCTGAGGAAGACATAGGAAAAGATTCAACAAAGTAGAAACGAGCAGGAACCATTATCGGGGGAAGTTTGTTGGCTATCCACCATCTAATTGAGGACCTGAAGAACTCAAGGTTGCTTTCCTTTTGTTTGAGCAGCAAATATGCTTCAAGAAGTAAAATATCTGCTTGAACACAACGAGAAACTACAGCAGCATCAGCTACGTCTTGGTGTTCCTTCAAAACGCTTTCAACCTCCTCTAAAGCAATACGGTGCCCACTGATCTTTACAGTGCGGTCCTTTCTCCCGATACACACCAGGTTGCCATTTGAAAGTTTTCTGCCAAAATCTCCAGTTCTAAAGTAACAGTTCACTTCATTTTTATCGTTCTCAGCGTCAGCTACTTCTTGATGTAGTTCCACGTTATCCAATGGAAAAATAGAAGGATGACAAAAGTATCCAGCAGCAACACAACTTCCACTGACACATATCTCTCCCTCATCAGGAGAATTTTCCCCAACAAGAACTACATCACAATTTCCAATGGGAATGCCTATTGGAACACTACCCGGTGCATCTTGCTTCAACATTGGGGGCAACCACTTGCAGTCAAAATATGTGCAGTCACCAGAAACCTATTTCAAACATCCAAAGTATTAGTGAAGACTACAGAGAAGATAGTGGATTAAAGTGATGGATTAAAATGATGGTGACGTAAGCTACTTCAAACATCCAAAGTATTAGTGAAGACTACAGAGAAGATAGTGGATTAAAATGATAGGTGACGTAAGGAGAGTACTAGCTCAAATCACAAATACTCTTTTAGACAAGGTAAAATTATTTCATTTAATATGGAAAATCTCCCGTATACAAGACGTATACCAAAAAGTAGAGCACCAACATAAAACTCAGATCACACAGATTAACGGCTAATATGCACTGATTATGGTCACAAGCACTAAGAAATTGAATTTAAGCTAAAGTTCAAGACTACATAAGTTTCCCACATTTAAACTCCAAACTAAAGTGTTTCTTTTTTTTTTTTTTTTTTTTTTTTTTTTTGATAAGGTAAAACTAAAGTGATTCTATCGAGTAGAGAAGGTGGCACAAATTGAAGGGTGAAGAAAACAAGGATAGAAATTGGCATCTTGTTTGATATGAGAAAGCATTACTCAAAGCTTCCCTTTTCGAGCGGTCCAAACATTAGAACTTACAAGAACATAAGTGATCAAACAAAGGAACATGAATCTTTTTTCCTTCCAAGCGATTCAGTATTAGAACTTGCAAGGACTTGATTAAAATCAGAGACGAAAATTTACCTCTGTACTTCCATATATATTAAGAATAGAAGTCTGGGGCAGCAACTTGACAAGCATCTTCCACAGCGATATATCAAAAACTTCACCACTTAGTACTAGAAGTTTTAATGGAATCTGAACTGTAGAATAATATATGCTCTGCAGAGCCGGAAGAAACGCCCTTATAAGAGATGGAACAGCCACGAGCCTGCTAATAGAATATTCCTGAGATAAATGATGGAAAAAATAATGGAATAACAGAAGTCTGGGTAAGCAACTTGACAAGCATCTTCCACAGCGACATATCAAAAACTTTTACCACTTAGCACTAGAAGTTTTAAGGAAATCTGAACTTTAGAATAGTATATGCTCTGAAGAGCAGGAAGATCGCCATTATAAGAGATGAAACTGCCACGGGCCCTAATAGAGTACTCCTGAAGACAAATAATGGAATTGTTTTTAATATTTTATGTCTCATAGTACGGAAAGGAATGAAGAACAGGGAAAAGGTCCAAATTTGATGCTATACAATTCGAAATTGCTCAACTTTATCCTCTGTTATACCTTGATCCATTCACACCCTTGCCGTTATCAAATCATCTTGTATTTGCCCTTGTCATTAAGGAAGCTTTAGCATGAAATGGGTGGACAACACATGTCAAGATACCTCGAGAAAAAGGGTCAAAATTTACCCCTCTAATTTTGACTAAGTTTTAAACTTAGCCTCGGGCTGGAGCTACATTACGGGTCAAGGGCAAAAACGAGACTTTTTTCAATGTTGCTCAATTTCGAATGCAGCGGCAAATTTGACCTTTTCCCATAAGAATATATGGAATTTCCTCTATATCAAGGGGAAAGAATGGTGGCTCAATTTTTAGTTTGCAAAAGAGAAATCAGTGAATAGATGCAAGCCAGAGAAGAGGTTCAAGAACCAAGGCAGGCAGCAAAAATGCAAAAGAAAAGAAAAAAAATTCCTGATCCAGACGGCCAGACCAGAGCAAGACCAAAGCATGTTATTGACCAACCACAAATCCATTGAATAAAGGTAGCTTGATAATTTTAGTACAACAACAATATCAGTGCCAGAAAACTACCAAGAATAGGCACAGAGCTTTATTCTTGCAATATTTGAAAATTTCATAATCATAGATTCACAAAGTAAACATTACCCACTTGAACTTCGTGCAACTTACTGCCACCAATAACAGTCATTTAGATATAACACTGAAATTCCAAGGAAAACAAGAGGTGTAACCCCCCCCCCCCCCCCNGCTAGAGTACAAATTAATCAAGGAACTCACGCTCATACTAGCTATAGAAGTCTAAATAATGTTAGAAAAAGCTAAGTGATCACCGAAGCAGTAACCTAGATATAAATTTTACTTGATTAACAAGCACCCAATACTCTCAAGAGTCAAGACTCGTCGCGCCAGCAGCACCTGAGCGAAAATACTTGCTTTATGTTTGTAGTTGTTAGAGAACAGCAATTGGTTAATGGACACGAAAGCCCTTAATGTTGTTGTCTACCACACGAGAAATAATGCACACCCTTTTAAAAACACTGTCAAATAACAAGAAATTCAAGGGTAATTAACTTGGATATACCTGTAAAAGATTGACTACACAAAATATATTGTCCTTCAGCTGATTGAAAGGAGGTATGACCAACGTACAATTAGCAAGTATAGCCCCTAAAAATTCTTGCAAATGGTCAATGAAGCTTATTGATGTTTTGAAAAGAAGGATTTCTTCTTTTTGAAAGGAATATGATTCTTGCATCCACAAAAAGCGACTCAGAAGACCTGCAAGCGTTAAATAAATTGAGTTAGTGCCTAAAGGAAAGCGAAAACTATAAATGCAATAAATTTTGTATCGGGGCAATATAAATTGATGACAAACGGTTGAACATTCTAAAGGATGTACGACTCACCTATTTCAGTGCCACATACACCCTTAGGTTTTCCAGTCGATCCAGATGTGTACATCAAGTAACAGAACGATCTCAACCTTTCACTTTCACAAGGCCAGCCTAACAACGAATTAGATTTTTTTGGGATGAAATCCCCCATTGACATATAAAAGACAGGATAACTGCCTTTATCAATGAGCCACTGTAATTTGCCAAGCTGATGACAAGTTCCGCCAACAGAAGATCCATAGCCGACAATAAGACTAGCTTTTGAAGAAGATATTACCAATAGTACCCTTTCTTTTGGCCAAGATGGATCTAAAGGCAGAAATGCTTCTCCGCACCTCAAAACAGATAGAACAGCAACAATGTACTCAACTGAAGGTTCCATATATATTCCAACTATTCTAGGGCAATATGTTTTATGGAGCTGTTTATACTGCTCTAAACCTTGATCAGAAGACCCCAAGATTGACTAGTCCTTAGAACTGCAGTTATTTGCAGTATGATGCATATTAACTACTAGCAATGAAAAGATGCAATGCCTAATTAGTTTACTCATAAAGTGATCATCAACATCTCGGAGGATTCTATAGCCAACAATAGAAAACCAAAAGATTTCAAGAAAACAAGTATAACATTGTCACATTCTTTTAAAAACCATAGAAACACAGATTATGACACACTACAAAAAGAAGAACTTGGCTATTACAACAAAAATTTAAACAAATTTTTATTGTGATTCGTGAAGGCCCAAAATAATCATAAACTATCAGTTTCTGAGGCTGTAAATTCACGAGTCAAAGCAAATAATTATAGAAATAAGGGAAAAGGTCTAAATTTACCCTTGTGCTATCTCAAATTGCTCAATTTTGCTCTCCATTATACTTTTTAGTGCAGTATACCCTTGTCGTTTTTTGGTGCATTCATACCCTCGCCGTTAGCAAATCTATCTTGTATTTTCCCTTGCCATTAACGGAAACACCACCATGAGATGTGTGGACTCCACGTGTCCAAATTCTTCGAGGAAGAAGATTCAAATTTACCTCTCAACTTTTGCCTATTCTTTAAAATTACCCTCAGCTTGGAGCTGGAGCTCCGTTAGGGGACAAAGGTAAAAGCGAGACTTTTCCATATGGCAAGGTAAGATTGGACCATCGATTAAACTTTTGGCGAAGTTGCTCAATTTTGGATAGCACAAGAGTAAATTTGACCCTGTTCTAAAGGAAAATTAGAAAGCCGAAAATAATTCAAGAAAGCACATGTTATGTCTGTAGAAGGGAGTCTCTAAATTGGGAAATTGATCGAATTAGGGTTTGGATTTGGAAAGTGAGATGGTCAATACAATAAAGAGACTGAAATGGGAAAGGCAACGTGGCAGCTTATCACCCTTCCTGAGCACACGTGTTTTAGTAGGTTAGTTATATTAGACGGCTGAGATTAAAAGTTAGCTTAATCAATAAAGGCCCGGATCAATCCTCAGCTGAGTCGGTTAGTGGGCTGTTAGTTAGTTAGTGGGTTGTTACAGATTGGGCCTTATATTCCAAAGAGTTGGGAAGAGACGATTATGCAAATTCTGGTAATTCATTTCTCAACCCTTCCC